AGTTTATGCTGGTTTGTTATATAGTAATAGGAAACCAATACAAAAGCTGGTGCCTGGGAATTTTAGAAATGTCTGGAAGTTTCCTTTTCCACAAACCACAGTCACCCTAGAAGATGGCCACTAGGCCCTTTGAAGAAGGGTTGGGGAAAGATTTAACAATATATTCCTGTGGAAGTGGCAAGAGAGAGCAGCCTGCTGTGTTTCAGTAAGGGGTCTCATTGTTGTGAATTACCTCTAGGTCTGGAAACGAGATCAGTTGACTAAACTCAACTGTCTGCCACTAGACTGTGCAGACTTTACAGTGATAAAGCAATAGTCTAATAGTTTGCCCCTTTGTTTCATTCCTATGACAAACCTTTATCGATTAACCTTAGCTGAAAATCCTGTGGGCTAAACTGTTCTTGTTCGTGATTCACTCAGTTACCTTTTATGACAAGCACACCCACTTTGTTTTGGGGGTTAAATGCTTCCATCTGGTCTTTCTCTTCAGGGTCCTTTTGTTGCCACTAAAATCAGTGAGCCCTAATGGCTTCATCTGGGCCTGTTCTGCAGTGGACAGCAGACTCAGAGCTCTTCAAAGAGGAAGGCGCTTTCCTCAGTGACTTACTCCCTACCTGCCCTAGTTAAGGGGGTTTCTGGGCCTCCCGGGAGAGAATGGAGTTGGTTTTAGAGATGGGGAGCGTGATCTCTTGGATCTAAAAACAGACCCCAGATAAATGAAACTATTAGGATGGATTAAATTAATTTGAAAAGAACACTGAAACCTGATTTTAGTTTTCAGTATAGTTTAAAATTATAAGATATACATAAAATATAAATTATTAAACATAAAATGAAAGTCAGGTGGTTAAGGATAGAGATGAATCTTGGAAGCATCCAATAGAAATAACTTCTGAGAAAGAGAATTGTGTAAATTATGAAAGAAACAGCAGTGCCAACGAATATAAAAATACTAATACTACACTTCAGTGTGTATGACAGTCTCCACAACAGAGAAGTCTAGAACTCTGAAAAAAATGATAACTCCTTCTTATTGCTATTGTCTAATTACCATCGTTATTTACTGAGCGCTGGCTGTGCCCCATGGCATTTTTATGCTGCGCTTAAACTTTACAAGTACTTTTTAGGAGAGTTGTATTTTTTTTCACCTATGAAAGGCTTACAAAAGTTGAAAAATAAACTCAACTAAAATCATATGAATTAATAACAAATATTTGACCATAAATCTGCTTAATTCCATATACTAAAGTGTGATCATGGAATGTAAGATACAGTTATTTTAAAGTGTAATTAACCCTTCATACCAATGGAATCTGTGTCTATGAATTCAACCAGTATATTTAGAAAAAGAAATCAGGAGCGCAAAGTGCATAGCTCAGTGGTAGAGTACTTGACTAGCATGTATGAGACCCTAGGTTCCATCCTTACCATGGCAAATTGTGTGTGTGTGTGTGTGTCTTCTTTTAGCATAGCCCCCACCCTGATTTTGTTCCTAGGAAAAATTGCATCTATACTGAACATGTTCTTACGCTTTTTCATCTCTTCTTTAAACAATGCACTTCGACAACAGTTTATATTGTATTAATATTATAAGTCAGGGCTTAAATTTTTTTGGTTCATGACACCTTTTTACCCCCACCGTTTTTACCTGACTTAGAGTATATAAAATTGGGTTATAGATCACACACTTACTAGTAAAAATAATAATTGTACTTGGTTTCATTTCACCATTTATTAAGGATAAATACAAATTTGCATACTAGCGAGGTGGATGTGCTTATTTACTTTTATCTAACTAATTGAATCTTTGCTGATTCTTTGATATTGTAGAAAACAGCCCCTTTATTATTTTTTAGAACTGATCAATAGTTTATAATTGTCTTTAATGACAATTTATAATGACTTTATAATTGTCAATAATGAGAATGCTTGTTTCTCATTAAATGTGTAATAAGAATGGCAGCAAATTTATAAGGCTTATTTCAGAAATTGTTAGAATTATTTTATTAATCTCAAACCAAAATTATCTTATGATATTTTAAAATTATGAATTTGCCAACTTGGTCTACAGAACAAGCTCCAGGAATCCAGAACTGCACACAGAGACCCTGTTTTAAAAACAACAACAAAAATAAATATTTTTCTCTCAAAAAAAAGGAAAACAAAAAAAAAAAACAAGCAAAAGCCAGTAAGACAAAAATACCAAAACAAAACAAAAGGCCCAGGAGAAAACTTGGAATCTGTTCTGTGTTGGCCAACTGCTTCTTTCTGTGCACGGGGCTTGCCTTGGAGTGTGGCTAATGTGTCTACCCCGTGACACTGCCTAGGAGAAAACTCATTTTCCCTTTCCCAGCAAGCATCAATTGAAATAGCCTGTTGGTTGGGGGTGGGCTTTGTATATGTTTCTCCTTCTCAATTTGTAGAGCAACATAGTTTTTTTATATATAATCAAAATTAAACATAAGAATTTTTGAAACTGTCTCCAGACATTTCAGATAATCAGTTATAACTCTTATGTTTAAAACTTTGAGAAAGTTATTTTTGGTTAAACATTTTAAGATATTTACAGTAAATGCTTCTAAAGAATGATTTTTAACTCTATTCTTCCATTTGTTAACTATTTAGTTAAAATTCCAAAGAAGGGTTTAAAAATGAGCTACTGTTTTAGGCACAGCTTTTAATGAAGCTACTGATTTTTCTGATATCATAAAACATCATCTCATTGGTGCTCTGATGGGGGCTGTGAGTGCCTCCCTGTGAAACACTTAGTAAAAGTGATATGTTCGCCACCATTTTTTTTTTGCCATAAATTCAACTTCTCTCACACAGTGTTGCTCCAGCACCATCTATACAGACACTCGTACCATATTTTCACTGGAGAAAGCTCCATTTGTGAGGAGTTTAGCTCTCTGGTGACATTCCCCCTTCCTGATGGGTGGTGAAACAATAATCTCTCACACATAGTTCCTTCATAAACATACTTACATAAAAAACAATTCTATTCTTTCAGAAATAGATGTTTCATCTAGCTGAATTACAAACTTTGGGTTGTTTATATGCTTATAATAAACTGCTTTCATTAGTCATTACAAATTATAGAATTTTGTTTGGAAACAACTTGATTTGATAAAGAAATTTTATTAATTTCATACCTAAACTTTTTTAACCTGTGAACTACTCTGCCACCCCTGCCCCATGAGAGGGTTTCCCTGTGTAGCCTGGCTGTCCTGGAACTCCTTCTGTAGACCAGGCTGGCCTCAGACTCATAGAGATCCACCTGCCTTCTGTCTCCAGAGTGCTGGGATTAAAGGTGTGAGCCACCACTGTCCAGCCAAAACTATACATTATATTCATTCAAAATAGCAGCAGGTAACACAAGATCTCCTTTCATGTAATACTTTTTAGGTTTTGGAATTAAATAAGAAATTTCAAACAAGGAAACACTTCTAATTGACAACAAATTTCTCAAAACATTGTTTTTATTTATTTCAAGATTTGTTAAAAGTATTCAAATAATGCTGCTATAAACATAGTTTAGCACATATCCTTGTGGTATGACTGAGCATCCTTTGGGATCGTGGAACCAGTCCTTACTGGTACAACTGTATGTGTATAGCAGAAACACATGTATCCTTAACAGTCTAATTTTTAACACATATCTTAGTTTTAGTCTGTTTGGAACACCTGCTTTAGAGAAATGGTGAGGTACAATGGGAAATATGGCAATCAGAGCTTTGATTCTACTTCTGTTTTTGTATGAAGTTGTAAACACAGGAACATTTCTCTAAACATTTTGTAAAATTACATTTATTTAGTGTTTGTTTGTATGCTTCAGTGTGTTTGTGGAGGCCACATTACAATTTGGGGGAGTTGGTTCTTTCTTTCCACAATGTGGGTCTTAGGGATTGGACTCGGGCTGTCAGACTTTTGCAGCAAGTCCCTCTGGCCCTTTTGCTGGGCCTTCAGAAATATATCTTATATAGAGCTCTTTTGAAATAAGATACATAAAAGAAAATTTATTTTAATTTATTTATTTAGATGCTGGGGTTGAATCCCAGGGCTTCATGCATGCAGAGAAACACTTTAATAACTGGACTATATCCCTAGCCCCAATGTTTACTATTTTATAATATGTAATTTTAAGTATAGTCACGTTGTTGTACAATCATCACTATCTAATTCCAGAACATTCTTATCATTTCTCAAAGACATACTACTCCTTATTCCTGCTCGCAGTCACTCTACCTTCTCTTTCCCTGGCTACTGCCAGCTGCTAATTCCCTATTTTGGACAGTTCATCTAAGTGGAGTCATATCATACTTGGGGGTGGGGTTGTCTGTCTTATTTCACTTAACATACCTTTAAGGCTTATCCACGTTGTAGCATAAATTGATACTTACTCTTCTGTATGGCTGATACTCCATTTTGTATATATGTTTGTATATCCACACACTATCTTTTGTTTATCCACTCATTACTTGATAGATATTTGGCTGGTATAATAACTTGTTTATATTGTATGCAAGGTTTTCTGTGAATGCCTTATGTTCAGTTATCTTACATATATACCTAGCATGGGTGTTCTGATCATATGGTAAATTCTGTGTTTGTTTTCCAAATTCATAATATTTGTACTGTTTTATGTTTTCACTCTTAGTGACTGCACATTTCTTTAGTCTATGAAAATAGGTGCAGTAACAGTTTTGCAGGGAGTAAAATATGAGGTAGAATGTACAGATGTTGTGCCAAAATGTTTTCTTCCATCTGGTTCTATATATCATGTGTAATATTTTTCCTAGAAATTCTAGGGAAGAAAATTAGAATTCAGTAAAAACAAAAACAATTCAAAATTGAGAGCACTTGTCACTTCTTTTTTATATAAGATTAGAAGATGAGTATACTTTATTTTATTTTTAGATTTTTAAAAAGTTTTTATATGTTTGGGTGTTTTGTTCACATGTATATCTTTAACCTGATTGGACAATGCCCTTTCCTTACAGAGAAGCTGGCAGAAGCTCAGCGCAGGTTTGCTACACTTCAGAATGAGCTTCAGTCTTCCCTGGATGCACAGAAAGAAAGCATTGGTGTCACTACATTGCGACAACGCAGAAAGCCAGTCTTCCACCTGTCCCATGAGGAGCGTGTCCAACATAGGAATATTAAAGACCTTAAGCTGGCCTTCAGCGAGTTCTACCTCAGCCTCATTCTGCTGCAGAACTATCAGGTGCTTAGATTACCCTAGGGAGTGGCATTTTAAAGTAAACTCAGTAAGTGGAATTACCTTGATTTACACTGAGTCCCCCAAAGGTGACATCATCTTTATTCTTGGGGTTCTTGTTAGAGTTTAGATGTCTTTGTTGGCCAAAAACCAGGCATTAGCAGGATTAAAACTATTAAGGCTAATAGTTTTTAAGCTACACACATGCGCACACACACACACACACACACACACACAGAGAGAGACTTTTGTAGGGCGGAGGAGATGGAAGTGTGAGCACCAGAGTTCAGGTTCCCAGAGCCCACGTTAAAGCCAGGCCGGCATGGCAGCCACCTGTAATTTACACATACAGGAAGGAGATGGGAAGTCCTAGAGAATATAGGTAGCCAGACTAGCAGAAGCGAAGAGCTCTTGACTCAGCAAGACAGCCTGCCTCAGTAATATAAAGTGGATAGCAAGTGAGGAAGACACCCAACACCAACTTCAAGTCTCCACGCACATGTACACTTAGTTAAAAAACAAGTCATGCGCTATTTATGGGTACCTTAGGCTAAGAGAATAGCAGTTTGCTTACTATTTGAAGTGTAGTGATGAATAAAAATAAATGTCTATCAAAATGTTAGCTGTGAGGTCTTTATATTCCTAATGCATAGCTAAAGTTCAGAAAAGCATTGGATCTTTCTGAGGCAGACATTAAGAAAAGAAAAGCAACTGGACAGCTAACATTTTTGCAAGTTTGCCATAATAAAACAAAAAAGCTGAACATTTTAGCTTGCTACCAAAAGAATCCCAGTTTTGTAAGTGGAGACTGCTCTTTTCGTTTCCCGCCCGCCCTGACCCAAATAATCACACAAAAACTATATTAATTACATTGTTTGGCCTATTAGTTCAGGCTTCTTACTGACTAACTCTTACATTTTAAATTAGCCCATTTCTATTAATCGGTGTATCGCCACAAGGCTATGGCTTACTGGGTAAGGTTCTGTTCTGGCATCTTTCTCCTTCTGCAGCTACATGGCATTTCTTAGACTCTACCTACTCTCTTTATATCTCCTCCAGCCTGGCTATATTCTGCCCTGCTATAGGCTGAAACAGCTTTTCTTATTAACCAATGGTAATAAAATATATTCATAGCATACAGAGGGGAATCCAACATCACAATTTTATTATTTACAGAATACAGTGTAACCATATCAAAAATAAATTAGGTCATGCTAGATATGTGTAAAGGTTAAATATATAGACTGCTATAGCACTCAATAGTTTTTACACCCAGTATGAAAAATGTGAACATCCATTAACCTTATATTAGGGTATTCATTTATTTGTAATTCGTTATAAGTTTGTTTATATAATTGTTATGAAAAACAATAAACAGGTTATGTTCAATAATAAATATTTACATCTCTGAGTCTGATGTACTACTTTGCATTTTATTCTCTAATATAACTTAAAATGAATGATTAGCACATTGCAGGATGATGGAACATCTAAAAAGTAAAAGTTATGCAATTAAAGTTTTACCTGTAGTGACTGGTGACACAGCTCAGTTTGTAGAGTGCTTGCCAGCAGGCATGAAACCCTAGGTTGGATCTGCATAAAACTGGGTGTGGAGGCACATGCCTGTAATTCTGGTACTAGGCAGATGGAGACAAAGGAATCTAAAGTTGAAGATCATCCTCACGTACACGAGGTTGAAAGCAGCTTGTGTAGACTTTAAGACTCTGTCTCAAAAGAATACATAAAAAGATTTTCCCTGAAGTGTTGCAATTTTAATATACAAAGTACTAGAAATGCCCTATCTTCAATGATCTCAATTGTTAATATGTATGCTTTTCCCATCGCTTTCATAATTTTTTTGGCAGTTTAGTAGTTTGTCAAAGAAGAACCCAGTTGAGAAATAATTCAGCAGAAAAGTAATAACATAAGAGAAATAATTGATAAGTCCTTTGTTTCTTTTATATACCCCAGGCTGATTTAAACTTGACATCCTCCTACCATAGCCTTCTAAGTGCCAGGTTCATTATCTACACACCTAGGCCCCTTTTTTGACATTTTCCTCAAAGCTTTATAATTTGATTTTTTTTAAAAGATTCATATTAATAACTAAATATTTAAAAGAAACAAAATGCTTTTCCACAGGTTTTAAAGTATTAATCTTGTGAGTTGGAGAGAGCATTCAATTGTTAAGAGCACTTGCTGCTCTTCTAGGGAACCTGAATTCATTTCCCAGTAGCCCTGTCACTACGCTCACAACTGTCAGTTGTTGTTGTCCTTTTCTGGCCTCCACAGGCACCTGTACATGTGTGACATTTAGTTACACAGACATATATACAAAAAAATAAAAATAAATCTTAAAAAAGTAATAGAAAATATCCATATTTCCAGCTTATTTTGTGTTGTTAAAAAACAAACAAACAAAAAAAACAAGAACAAAAATGCTGCTTTGTATGCTCTGGAACTGGAGTTACAGACAGTTGTAAACTAAGAATTCAATCTAGGTCCCAGGTCTTCTGCAAGAACAAGGCTCTTAACTGCTGAACCATCTCTCTAGCCTCAATAGTAATTCTAAAAGTTCTGTTGTGGAGCTGCAAGGATGACCTGACTTCAGATTCCTAGCATCCAAGTAAAAAGGCCAGGTTTGACTACTCTGGCCTATAATCCCAGGACTGGGGAGGAAGGCAAGAGGATATCTAGGGTCAGTCTGGACAAATTTGAGCTCCAGGTGAAAGACCCTGTCTGAAGAAAGTAAGAAAGGTTGGAGAGCTGTAGAATATGATGCCTAAGATCACCTCTGACCACCTCTGCATCCACACACATGTATGAACACACACACTCACACCTGTTTCTAAGTGAGCTGTCTACTTACCCAAGAATAGTTCATGATCATGCATTATGGTATGAGGAATGTATTCTAACAAGTGAGCAAGAAACCTTATCAGCAAATACAGACAGGCTCTGGTTGGTAGATCTTACCTAGACTTGCAAATCTGTGGTTTTCTGCCTTTCAGATGATAGGCAAACAACAACTGAAGGTGAGAGTGTAGGAAAATACAGTATTTTGATTTTGTAGAAATTGAAGGAATGTCAAGCTCCTACCCATTGTCACCTGCCCTGTGCAATGGTTCTTTTCTGCTGACCTCCCCTGCTTACTTCCATCCCTAAATGGAGGAGGATGAAAGGAAAAACAGAGTCAAGAGAACTAGATGCATGTCCGTTGCACCTGCCTGGAGGAGTGAAAACACTCTCTTTACCACCCTTCATAGAGCAAAGAGTTAAAACAGATGAGTTCAGTGCATGATAAATGCAAAAAAACCATTTTCTGAAAATACTCTTTTGGTCAAAGCAGGAAAACAATCTATTTTAAAATGGTTATATGTGGAAAGTTGGAAATGAAAATGTTCTGAGCTTAGAATTTTCATTAATTTACTTGGAAGAAAAATAACTGAGTTGTGTTTCCAGTAGGATTCTACCTTGGAACCAGTAAGTTACAGGAGAGCCTTATCCTGGTAGCAGTGAATGCTTCTAGGAGGTGCTGCTGTTCCCCAGGGTTCTCAGTATTGACTCAGTAAACTCTGTTGATGTCTGTTGCTTAATTGTTTTAATGTTCTCTAATGATCATAGAATGATAATTGCATTTCTCTTTTCTTCCTATAGAATCTGAATTTTACAGGGTTTCGAAAAATCCTTAAAAAGCATGACAAGATCCTGGAAACATCTCGTGGGGCAGATTGGCGAGTGGCTCATGTAGAGGTGGCCCCATTTTATACATGCAAGAAAATCAACCAGCTCATTTCTGAGACTGAGGTACAACACCTCTGCTTGCTTGCTGTATATGTTCAGTTTCATTTGTATGTATTTTAAAAAAATAACTCACTATTTTTCTTTTATAAATTGCTGGTTTAGATACCAGTGCTCTTACTGAGGTCTCTTCCCTTTTGCTTTATCAGTATCTTTATCAAGAGGCTATCAGAACAGTATACACATGTGTATTTATATGTATTGCTTTTATTTAGATTAATTTATGCCAAAACTTGACAATTCATCTTTCTAGGCTGTAGTAACCAATGAACTTGAAGATGGTGACAGACAAAAGGCTATGAAGCGATTGCGTGTCCCTCCTTTGGGAGCGGCTCAGGTTAGTATCAACTTCTAGTGGCTTGTTTCCTTTTCCTTTTCTTTTCTTTTCTTTTCTTTTCTTTTCTTTTCTTTTTTGTTGTTTGTTTGTTTGTTTGTTTGTTTTTCAAGACAGGGTTTCTCTGTGTAGCTTTGGAGCCTGTCCTGGAACTAGCTCTTATAGACCAGGCTGGCCTCAAACTCAGAGATCTGCCTGCCTCTGCCTCTCGAATGCTGGGATTAAAGGCGTGTGCCACCACTGCCTGTTTCCATTTTTCATACTTAATAATTAGTACAGCATTGTTGTTAACTGTTGTCATTACCTTAAATTTTTTAAGCCAGATTTTTTTTAAGTAATTGATATTATTATTTCTCTCATTACAAAAAAAAAAATAGATTCAGGCATGGCGGCATATGTTTTAATCCAGTACTTAGGAGGTGAAGGCAGAATAACCATTAGTTCAAGACCAGCCTGGGTTATATAAGACCCATGTCAGAGAATAGAAAGAAGGAAGAAAAAATTAGATACAAGCTATCATATCATAATGAATTGCAGTATCTTACACCTATCTCTTAATGCTCCCCCTCAACTCCCTCTCCTGTTTGTTCTTATACACACTTGCTTCATGACAGTTGCCTTATCAACTAAGACGAAGTTTTTTGTTGTTGTTCATGATATGAGAAGTTTAGATGTACTGGGTTACCATATAGCTTTTTCCAAAATAGCAGTTTATACCCCAAGCAAAAGAGAGGAGGGGCTTATTAAATGCTATGTAAATATCTTTTGTCACATAAAGCATGTCTCAATAAATTAAAAAAATTATCATGGAGTATTTTCTGTTATCACAGTGTGTTGAAATTAATAATAAAGAACTTCTGTAACTTAATAACTGGCATGTTTAAAAAATTAGACTTGATGTCATATTTAACAGAAAAACACTGACACTTTCTTTACAAGACCAGGGACAAATTATATATTCAGTCTTAGGACTGTCATTAAACCTTTTCCTGGTGATTATAGCCAATGTGATAAGATCAGAAAAAGACATAGAAGGTATTCAGGTTAGAAAAAAAGATGAAAATACTGGAGGTTTTGTTGTTTGCTTGCTTGTTTATTGTTAGTAAATTGATGATCTCTGTAGAAAATCCAGTGATTTGTATAGCTACTAAGCTGATCAGGGAGTTAGCAAGCTTGCAGAATACAGCACCTGTTTACAAAGACTCAAGTGTATGCCTGCACATCAAGTACAGTTAAAAGTCAAAACTTTACTAATAATGCCACAGAAATAAGAAATGCAATAGTAATAATCCTGGCAAAAGAGCTGAAGAGTTTTACATTGGAAATTACAGAACATTGCTGAAATAAACTACAGATCACTTAAGTGAGAGCCAGTTGAATTATGAATGGGCTTATTATGTAAGTAAGCTCAGTGCTTTTAGGAAACCATTTTTTAATTTTAGTATAGCATAATCCATCTAAAATTATCTCAGTCAGGATATGGTATAAGGTGTGTGTGCACGTGTATGTGTGTGTATAAATTGGTAAGCTAGCTTTAAAATGCATGGATGGAAATGCAAAAAGCTTGCAATAGTCAGTACATCTTTGAACCAAATTAAAGGTTAAAATATTAGTACTACATGGTATAAAGAAGCTGCAGTAGAGTCAAGATAGGCAGACACTTCAAAGGAGCAGAAAGGAATCTAAAAATATGCAAAGATATGTATACGACTAATTTTCAATATAGGCATAAAGCGTGCTAGTGGCAAGAATAATGTTTTCAACAATTCAACAGTTGGATTCTCTATACAAAAAGAAAGCACAAGCCTTTATTTATATTTTATACCAGGGATTTCTAGACATAACATGGACCTAAGTTAAACCTGAAGCAACATTTTAGAAGAAAATATAGAAGACAGTCTTAGCATCTTTGGATGACTCAGAGACTTTTTAGAAATGGCATCAAAAGCACTTCATCAAAATTAAAAACAAATCTTCAAAAGACCCTGTTAAGGAGAATGAAGAATATTAAACTAGTATAAAATATTTATAAAACATGTCTAGTAAAAGGCATATTTTACTAAGAACATATAGAGAACTCCAGTAGTTAGCAAGGAGAAAATGACCTGAGTGTCATCAGAGCTAAGTGGAGAATGGGAGCATGGCAAGGTGTTCCACTCCAGTGGCCTGTCGAGACAAATTAAAACCAGAGAAATACTAACAGTAACCATAACCAAAATTCAGAGATTGACCATGCCTGTGAATGGAGGACCAGAATTCCATCTCATATGCTGCTGGTGGAGTAAATTATATAACCCTTTAGCATATAGTTGGGGAGTTTCCTAAACAGTTAAATGTGTGTCTGCCACATGACTGGCTATTATATTCCTAGATATTTATCTAAAATAATGCAAATATATGTCCACAAAGAAGTCTTCTAAATAAGTGTTCATAGCAACTTTATTTGTAGTAGCCTAAAATTAAGAAACAGCCTGTTTCTATCAGTAGGTAAGTGGATAAACAATTGTACTGTATCTTCTCAGCCTGAAAAATAATTTGTTGATACATGCCATACATAGGTAAAAAGAGAGAGAAAGAAGGCACCTTTTTTTTTTTTCAAGTATACACTATCTGACTCTATTTACTTACTATTTTGGAAAATGTAAACCAGTAAACAATGACAAAAAGCATAGCATTTGTTGCCAGTCAAACTGGAAGTGGGGCAGGGAGGCTTGGGCGGGAAGTAAAGACAACAAAGGGGCATAAGGAAACTCTTAGGAGTAGTGACTGTGTTAGGGTATTTTTGTTGTTGTTGAGACAGGGTTTCCTATAGCCCAGACTGACCTCAAACTCACTATGTAGCCAAGATGACCTTGAACACCTGGTGCCTCTGCCTGAAGTGCTGGGAATATAGACATGTACCACCATGCCTTGCTCCATATATTGTCTTGACCGTCTTCATTATGATTGTGATTTCATAAATATCTATATATATTAAATCTTATAAAATCTTATCAAGTAAAATAATTTAGTGTGTGTTCAATTCATTGTATGCCTGTGTATTCAATAAAACAGTATTTAAAAAAATAGACATCACAGTCAAACTGATTGAAAGATAAAGAAAAAACTATAAAAACATCATAACAAACAGAAATTGTGTACATTAAGTGTATACAGTTTATTATGCTACTTATAGCAGAACAATACTTTAAAATGAGAAAAAGTAATTAAAAAAACTAAAGCACTTAAAAGTGTGCTTGGAGGAGACAGTCCTGCAGAAAACACAGAAGCGGTTACCTGGCGAGGAAGGAAGGTATGTGATGAGAGAGGGAAGGGCTTCAGGGTAGGATGGTATCTAAAGACTAGGATAGATACTATATATGTTCACTTTACCAGTTATTTCCAACATCCTAAATATATGACGTACATTCTTTTATGAATAGAATGTATTGTGCAATTTTTGTAGCATTTAAGAGAAGATAAATGACCATTTCCTAGATGCTTTCATTCAGAAACTAACACTACAGATACCTCCTGTGACAAGTAATGAGGGTTTTGATGCTTTGTGGGGGGATTAAAGGTGTGACCTCTCACCCTTCACTACATTAGAAAGCTGTAGGTCTGTCTATCTGTCCTTCTCTCTGTCCTTCGTCCCTTTATATTTAAAATCTAAGGAATTTTCTATTTGCTTTAGAAAAAAGTAATTTAAGATCAGTTACAGATATAAATCAATTTTTTTTTCTTCCTGAGTGAGGTAACCCAGCCCCAGAAAGATGAACATGGTATGTACTCACTCATAAAGTGGATACTAGCTGTAAAGCAAAGGATAACGAGCCTATAGACCATGATCCTAGAGAAGCTAAGTAACAAGGGGAACCCTAAGAAAACACACATAGACCCACCTGGAAATGAGGAAATAGACAAGATTGCCTAATAAAAATTGGGAGCGTGAGTGTGGGGGAAGAAGAGAGGGTGGTAGGGGAAGCGGGGGAGAACTTAAGGGAACGGGATATTCGAGATGGAGGAAGGACAGAGATGAAAGCAAGGAAAGATATTTTGATTGAGGGAGCCATTATGGGGCTAGCAAGAAACCTGACACTAGAAAAATTCCCCCAGGAATCCACAAGGATGACCCCAGCTAAGACCCTGAGCAATAGAGGAAAGGGTTCCCAAACTGAGTCCTGTAGTCAGACTGATGAATATCTTAAATATCACAATAAAACCTTTATTCCTCAACTAATGGAAACAGAGGCAGAGACCCGCAGCAGAGCTCTGGGCTGAGCTCCCAAAGTCCAGTTGAAGAGTGGGAGGACTGAGAGTATTAGCAGAGAGGTCAAGACCATTATGGGGACACCCCCTGAAACATCTTATCTGAGCTAACGGGAGCTCACCAAATCCAGCCGGACAGGGACGGAACCAGCATAGGGCCAAACTAGTCCCTCTGCATATGGATAAAATAAAATTATAATAAAGAAGGATACAACAAGTCTATTGCACTGGAGGTTTTAATATGCCCAATCTCTTAATAACTAGTATAGCTTAAAATGTTTCATTTAAGGGGCTAAAGAGATGGCCCAGAGGTTAGGAGTGCTTATTGTTCTTGCTGAGGACCCAAGTTTGGCTTCCAGGAAACTACATAGGAAACTCAAAACTATCTTAACTCCAGTTTCAGGTGGGTCTGATGTCATATGGCCTCTGTGGGTGCCTACACATACATGGTGCACATAAACTCACACAGACATGCATATATATAAATAAAAGAATAAGTAAATGTTTAAAATTTCTCACTTAAGTTTTTCTCAGTATAAGAGCATAACGTATTATCAGAAAGTAAGTATTCTTGTTTTTGCCATTGACTCTCATCATTCAGAGTACCAAAAAGTAAACTCTAATTGAGTAATTCTAACTAAAGAAATGTAGAGATAAATAAATTTTATAAAAACTAAATTGCATTCTAAATCACTCAAAATATTCTTCTATGTGTTCATCTGAAGTCTGAAATTACCATCTTATTTTGACTCCTATTTCTGTCTCTTTTTTTCTGTCTCTCTCACCCCTTTTCCCTTCCATCAACCCCCCCCCATGTGTGTGTGTGTGTGTGTGCGCGCGCGCGCGTGCGCACGTGTGAGCTTGTGCATGTGTGTATGTTCCTTAGTCATTTTCCAACTTGTTTTTGGAAACAGTCTCTCACTGAACCAGGAGCTCACCAGTTTATCTCAACTCATTGCCTGCAAGCTGCAGGAATCTTTCTGTCTTTGCCCACCTAGCATGGGGATTACAAACATGTTCTGTACCCAGATTTTTATGTGGTATCTGCCTGACTTTTTATGTGGTTGCTGGGGACTGTCCTCATTCCAACACAACAAGTACTTTACTGTATGAGCATCTCCCCAGCCCCGCAATACAGATTTCTGTAAAATAACTCAATAGTGTCCCTATTCTAGTTATAGAATGATGGGGTGTAAATGATCCTCTGCTTCGAAGTTATAAAAGTTAAAATAATAAAATATACTTTCACTGTAGAACTTTGGGGTTCATACTACTAAGTTACTATACTATAGCATGCTTTACAGGTGTGTTTGATATCTTTCACTCAAAATTTTGTTTTATGTTCACAGCCTGCGCCAGCATGGACTACTTTTAGAGTTGGTCTATTTTGTGGAATATTCCTTGTGTTAAATATTACCCTCGTGCTTGCAGGTAATTCTTAACTTTTTAACTCATTTGTTCTTAATATGTTTATGTCATATTCTGCCCTTTTATAAAGAATCAAGCATATGTCTACCAATTCTACTGAAGTGCGAGGTTTTAGAAAGTTGTTTGTATCCTTTGGGATATAATTTTTTAAAACATTGACCTCTTGTTTACTATCAATTTCTAGTCTTTAACTTCAGGATTTTTAGAGTTCAGTTGTCAAGAACTTAAGCTTAGGCCAGTGATATGGTTTAGTGGGTAAAGATGCTTGCTGCCAAATCTGACTACATGAGATTGATTCCAGGTTTCACATGGTGGAAGAAAAAAGCCAACTCCCACAAACTGTCCCTGACCTCCTCACGTATGACATGGTACACACACACACAAACACACACTAAGTAAAAAGTGTAATTAATTTAAGAGCTTGTTTCCTTGGTCATAGATGAAGATAAATATGTTACAAGTTCATCCACTAAGCCTTATTTAATTCTTATAGTGACCCCCACCCCTTCATGTTTTTCCAAAGCTGCTTATAACTGCTCCGCATGCTTGGCTTTGTAGTTTTCATTTCAGTGAAATTTCAAAGTAGGGACTAGAGTATATGTTTAGCATGGATGAAGTCCTGTGTTCAGTCCCCAACACTACATAAAACCAAGTATAGTAACACATACTGATAATCCCAGCATTTGGGAAGAAGCACAAAGATCAGGAATTCAAGGATTTCCTCAGCTACATAATATGTAGATAGGCTTCCTAAGCTTGCCCAAGAATTTATAGAGCCCTTCAGTAGCATTTCACATTATCACTGTTGAAAAGCTTCAAATACCACACCTGTTATTTTTCCCATTATTTCTTTAGTATTTCTTTCCTAAGCCATGCTTATTCTTTGTGGCATTGAAATGTTAGGTATTCCCAATATATTCAATTCTCACATATGAACATATCTATGTTCATTTCCTATCTAGGCAAATTATTCAAGCCTGTGGCTACAAATACTATCTATATGCTAATGGCTCACAAGTATATATCCTCTCTCCTCTGAAAAAAAAGATCTAATGGCTGTTTGGAGATCTAATACTCATTTCCCATTTAAGTAGACAAAAAGACCCCTGGATTTTTTTTTTTTGGTAAGTCCCCCAAATAGAGCCCAAACCTTTTAATTCCTATTTACCCTGTCTTGGCTGAAATTATCAACTTAAAAAGAAGAAAGATTTATTTTGGCTTATGGTTTTAAAGATATTAGTCCTTGATCACTTGGCACTGTCAGTTAAGACCTGTGGCAAGGCAGAATATTATGGTGGAGACTGTGTTAGAGTGCAAAATTTCTCACTGAATGGAAGCCAGAAAGTGTACGCTGGGGAGGGAGGATGTTCTAGTACAGGCTTCTTCCTCCAACTGTGCCTGACCTCTTCAAGTTTCTCCCTCCCGGTAACACCAGGAGCTGGGAACCAGCACACATGACACATGACCAAGATATGTGAGCTTTGGCCAACACTTAGGGTCTAAACAACATCCCTCATATTTTATCACTAATTCATATAAGAAATCCTATTGCTCTGTCTTCATACTATGTTTGAATTTGATCACTTTCACTATACCCATTAGTTCTGGACTTGTCTCTTTGTTTGCATCCAGTGTTGCCCTCTTCTGACCACAAGTTTGTTGAGGGTGGTTTCTTCCTCCTTTCTCCTTTCCTCAGCCCCTCTTTCATCAGCCCATGTCCCCATGTAAAATCTATTTATGGCTTCTCTTACATTCAGATTCCTTACCATAGTACACAAGACCTTCGAGGATATTGCAGTTAGTCATTTCTTACTTCCTATCCTTTCTTTCTCCCCATACTCACTTTCATTTACTATTCTTTAAACACATCTGTTGTCTAAGGGATTCTTTTCCATCAAGGGTGTCTGTTTGCTTTTGTTTTCCCTTCACTTAAACATCTATTCAAATGCTGTCTCTTCATTGATTTGATATCTTCTGTGGTCACCCTACGCTAAAACGGTTTATTCTGTATCTTTCTGTTCCTTTAGCCTACATTAATTTTCTTCAGAATGCTTGTCTGACAGGTATCACATATTTATGTCTCTGCTTTCCCACTAACATGTAAACAATGTTTGGACTTAATAGAAAACGTCTCAATGCCTGGGCTTTCATCTCTAGTACTGGAACACTACGTGGAGCATAATAGGAATTCAAAAAATTTTGAAAAAGTTTGAATGGATGGAAGAGATAAAGAGTTGAAATTAAATGATGTGCAGAACTCATTATTCCTTGCATGCATCCTCTTCAGCACTGCCTACTTTGCATTATAAAGTTATAACCCAAATTGTAAAGGCTTTTACATGAACTTTGCCTGTTGCCTATGTTTTCATTGTATTATTAGAGTTCTTTGGCTAGAGAGATGATTCTGCCATTAAAGGCGAGGTTCACAACAACAGCATCAAGAGTTCTCCTTTCCACCAGTTGCTAAGTATTATGCACCCATAGCTTACAATGTAACATTGATGAGATTTATGATCAATTTGTTATCTGTTTGTTTATATAGGGTAATTATAATCTACTTATATAAAATACATGGAAATTCTGCAGTACGAACCCCAACCTAGAATATCAAACTGCCATAAAGAGAACGGAAGTCCTGCCTGAGTTTCAGTTTCAGTCCCACCATTCATTGTTAGCTGTTGTGGTTGTGTGGACAACCCTTAGATTTTTCTAAAACAGTTTTCTCATCTATTGAATGAACTCAGTACCTTCAGTTTACAGGATTGCTTGAGAATTTATTTGTTCATCCACAAGTAGCTTTACCATCTGGGGTGTGTCTGTGTTGCATGGATGTGAATTCAAGCACAGTCACATACACGTGTGGGAAGTCAGAAGACAACATCCACTATCACTCTATCTTGTTTTGAGGAAGAATTTCTTTACCTCTGCTATGCCAGACTGACTGGCCCACAAGATTCTCCTGTCATCTTATTGCTGGAGCATTGGGGTTACAGATTAATGTTATAAAATCATGTTTTTTATGTGAGTTGCTAGAATCCAAAGTCATACCGTCACACTGGCCACACAGGCACTCTGCTCACCAAGCCCATCCACAAGTCACTTTTATGTATCTCCCAACTGTTCCTGATCCCATGAGTCTTAAGATATAAAAAGTTGTGGGGGGGGGGGCAGAGGGATTGAGTTGTGTAGCTCAGTAGCAGCATGGTTGCCTAATATAAATTGAACTCCTGGGTTAGAGCCCCAGTACTGCAAAACCAGATGAAATCAATCTCTTAGACGGGTGTGTGGCATGCTTGTAGTCAGCATTTAGCGATGGGACTGGGAGAAACAAATCGTCAGTGTTATCCTAAGATAATAGTTCAAGGCCATCCTGAGCTACCTGTAACCCTGCCTCAAAAATAATGAAAGATGATAAATGTTCTAAACAGTACTATGAGACTACTGAGTATTTTCTTAATTAGACTATTGAGGAAGATGCTGTGGAAGAAGTGGCATTTAAGTTGGTGGGATTAAAAGCATTACCAGAGAACAAAAGAGAGAGTAACTTAGTTGGTCAGGAATAGGAGGAGGGAGGGAATTACTAGAGGGGCTGGTTAGTAGAACAGGGTGAAGCCCAGCTTTGAGAGCAGTGCACATCTGGTGAAGCACATCAACCCCAAGTATAGTCTGCACACATGGCTCTCTCTTTAGGAAAATATTGTTACTCGTTTATGAGTAGATTTACTTGTCTAATTTCCAAGATGTATGTGGTGATTTTATCCTCCCTAGCTTAAGACAAGGGAAGAAGCAAATGTCTTTCTTTTTATGTGAATTAAATGAAAAGGGTTTTTGTTTGTGTGTTTTATTTCTTAATTTATGTCAAGCTTAGGTTTTAATAAATATAGACTGTATTACTGTGATAGTTTGATTTTTGAAATGCATGCAGTTTATCCATTTAGCTTTATGTATTATGTTCTAACCTCAGAACCCTTCATTGTTTGATCTTCCTGTGTACTGGTGGGGGGGGAGGGTAACCAGAGATAAAGCCAGCTGTCTATCCTTATTTATCTCCCCCTGGGTACTCAGAAGATAACAGTGTTGAGAGTCAGAGGGGATCGCAGCAATAGTAATGCATGTACAAGCACGATTCTTTTCTTAGAGCATTCACATAAAAATTATGTGCATAATTGCTGTGGTCTCTCATGGGGACTTGGCCTAGTGTTCAATAATTTGCCAGAAAAAAAATCACACATTATAGAGTTTTAGTTTCATAAAAATGAAGTTTTTGCTGTATAGGTTTTTAAAATTTTCTTCTAGAAATCTTGGCTCTATTTGAAATAACCACAGTATGCCATATTTCACCTACTAGTTTACCATTTACAGGAATATAATGGTGTAAACTAAGCACTTGTAATTAATAAAACTATTGAAGGTTGAAATCTCTTTTGAAAATAATGTGGTAGTATATGTAAAAATTTGATAATAACTTTAACTAACTTTAGTTTTTTGTTTTTTTTTTTTACAAATTTAGCTTACAATTTAGGCTCCTACAAGAAATTATTTATTGTCATGTTGCTTATGACAGCAACATCTTAGAAACTGATTGTAAACTGTACAAATGAGTTGTGTTGCCATATACAATGGCATATCATGGTTGGTCAAGCTGGAAATGAAAGGGAGGCATAGCATTTTGGAGAATGACTTGGCACTTTTACCAAAACTGACTGTATATTAGCCTATGATCCATCTCTAGTAATAGAAATGAGTGCATATATCTACCAGGAAACATTCAAGAACATTAGTAACTATACTGTGTTAATGTCCCCAAACTGGAACAACCCAAATGTTCATCAACAGTATAGCAGATGTCTTTACCCAATAGGATAGTATGTAGCCGTGAGAAGATTGAAATGTAGCCCATGCAAAAACATAAATGAGTCTCACAAGCAAATGAAAGTGGGGTTTATATAACATAAAATTAACCATTGTAAAGTAAACAAAAGAAGCCAGACACCAAAAGTACACATTATATTATTTAATTTACAGGAAGATAAAAAGTTAGTGTTAGAAAAGAGTGCTTACCATGGATGGAAAGAAGATGTAAAGCAAGGCCTTTGGGCACTGTTTTGTATTCTGGGTCCTGATTCACTGTTGTTGAAATTTATCCTATCTTCTATAGTGTGTAACACCTACATTAGAAAATAAGTGAGATCTTTGTGTGTATTTATGAGAAAAATAACCACTCTAGAATGTAAATGAAAAAATAAGCTTTAGGATAGCCATGTATGGAATGCTGTTAATTGTAGTTGGTTAGTTGCTTTGTTTTGAAAGTTATTTGGTATTTTTCAGTATGTGAAGAATTTCTTGGAAGGTAATAGATAAAACTGTTAATATGGTAGCCTCTAGGGAAGGAGGTAGGGACTTGAATGTAGGGACCTTCTTACATCCTTTATATTTGAGAGCCTTTTCTCTTATACATATATTCCTTATTCCTAAATATTTTTAGCAAAAGCAAAACTGGTTTGGTCATTCAAAACCCCAGCGTGGAATGGGGAAAGGTCATGAAGCCCCACCTGTGGCTGAGGATCCATTGGCAATTGATGGCTCCTGGTGGACTGAGTGTGTTTTCTTCAGGGATGTGTTCCCGGAGAGGCTACCCATGCTCCAGTAGTGTCTTTCTCCCATGTCCATAAACTGCGTTAAGTAGTCTTAGTGTTTTGATCACAATTTATATGTATGAAATTCTTAATAAAAAGAATAACAAATCACAACAAAATGAAAACCTATTTAGCAATTTGATTCAGTACCATGAGGACTATAATTTTGTAAGGTTTTGAATAGGCTTCTGTTTGAGTTATTGATTTTGTTTTGTTTTAAAAAATGCATAGTAGTTTGTATATAATTTAGCTACATTGTTAAATGCATCAGGCTCTAGAGCCAGATTACTGGGATTTAATCCCTGTGTCATTAAACAAGGGGCTTAATTTAACTGTTTCTTCAATGTGTCTACTGTAGAAAACTGATATATGTGTTTTGCTGTGAAAAATTAATGAAATTATGCACTAAAGCACTAAAACATTGATTGACTTCTATTTTTCTGAAAATAAAGTGACCATTGGAATTTTGATAGGGATTTAATTAAATGCATAGATTGACTTGTCATCTTAACAATATCAAATCTTCCAATCTATAAGCTTGACATTTCTTTCTATATACTTAAGTCTACTTTAATTTCTATATATTTTGTCACTTTCAACATACGAGCCTCTCATCTCCTTTATTAAAATTACTACTAAATGTTTTATTCTTTTAGGTACTATTATAATTAAAAATTGTTTTTGTAATTTTATTTTCAGATTGCTTATTGCTGATGTATATAAACACAGCTGAATTTTGTGTGTTGATGTTGCATTCATGACCTTGTATTCTACAGCTTCGCCATTTTTTACAGTTGTATTGTGGTTGCTTTGGAATCTATGCTTTGTTTTCTAACATCTTAATGTCTGGGGTCTTTGCTTAGGATTCGGGATGCAAAGCTACAAATGTGCTTTTCTACTCCTCTAATTTTCTAGCTAATCTTGACTCTGCTGGTTCTCTTGTGCTCCATTGTCACATAGCAACTAGGACAGTCTTTTAAAGTAATTACTTGGGTCTTAACCCATTCAAAACCTTCTATTAGTTCATACATCAGAAATAAAACTTAAATCTGAACAAAGTACTACAAAACCCTGTCTTGTCGCTGGGAACTTTATCTCTAGTTCTTTCCAATAATAGTGACCTTGGCCTTCTATAACTAAGCTTCATTCTTCACTCTTTAAGGCAAGTGTATCTCCTGAGAGTCTTTATCTGCTGATTTTACTCTTATCCCTCTCACCATATACTGTTAGATAGAAGTTAAGTGGAAATTGGTATCTTGTCTATTATTCACTTGAATCCCCAGTTCTTAGGATGATGTTGGGTGTAAAAGACATCTAATAAGTACTTGTTGTATAAATGTTTTATTTAGCAACTAATAGAAGCTAATGTAACTAATATATACTGAATACTGATAGAGTCAAACATTAGGCATTTGATGTGTTCTTCACGTTTAACTGTCACAGGCATGTGAAAGTATGTTGTTTGTTTTTGTTTTGTGGTTTGTTTTTTAAATAGGTCTCATGTAGTCCAGGCTAAACTCAAAGTTCTGTGTACTTCTGATCCCCTTTTCTCCACCTCCCAAGGCCTGGGATAACAAGCATGTATAATCCCAGTTTTATGCAGTACTGGAGATCAAGTCCAGTCTGAGAACAGACAATATTTTCATTGGTCAAGAGGAAACTGAGGACTAGAAACTCTTAAGTTAAACAGTTTATTCTACTAGGATTTGATATGCAGTTTATATATTATTTGATTCCAAAACAAACACTTTTTCTCCCCTGTTATTTTTAAATTATTAAATGTTTTCATACTGTAGAGACTACAAAGATAAATAACAAATCATTATTTAAATTAAGTAAGTATATAAATTGGTAGAGATGAAATAAAAGAACACTGTAGATCATGGGAAAAATAACTTTTTTAAAAGATGAAATTCATTGGGGTTGGCCATTGGGGAGTACTGTAGGATGAGTTTGGAAAAAGTAAGTTGGAAACTAGATTTTTTTTTAAGAGCTTAAGTTTGCAGACCTAAGGTTTTTGAACAATATAATTCTAGGAAAGCTGTAAAATAATGAGGGTACTGAATGTTTGTATGGGCATATGAACAATATAGTTCTTGAGAACATGGGCTTTGCACAAAATTATGTTGTAAGCAGGTATGGTGGTGATGTCGTTAATCCCCACAGCGAGGCCAGGTCAGCCAAAGGCTACATTTAACTCTGACAGTAAACCTGAGCAAATTACTTAACCTGTCTATGCTCTAGTTTCCTCAGACAACATGGACATAGTAATTTTTAACTTATAAAACAATTATAATGAATTAAACTAATTGTTACATGTAATAGCACCAAGAATAAGGGTAAACACTATATTAAGCACTCAATATGTGTCAACTATTGTCTATTTATATGACATTTAAATTCTCACATTGTCTTCTTGTGCTTTGTATCTTTTCATTCTTTAATAACTTTGTGAGGTAGAAGTTACTGTATCCAGTTTAATGTTAGAGAAAGCAATGTTGAAGAGGGAGGTATCAAAAAAAAAAAAAACTCAGAAGACAAAACTAGTCTTAGACCTGGCTGGCTTGATGTTGTATGCCTTTAATGCCAGCACAGGGGAGGTAGAAGCAAGAGTTCGAAACCAGCCTGGTTTACATAGCACACTTCAGTATAGCCAAGATTACATGTCTCAAAACAAAAACAAAAACTGGTCTTACTGTTTCAAAGCAAGATAAAAATCAAAACAAGATAAAACGCTTATAGGACAATGGAACAACATGTTAAAAACCAAGTTTGGAGAAAATTATTCTAATGGCATTCTGCAGAGTCTTTGAGGCAGAAGAGGAAAGAATCTAGAGGCAAGTTTATTGGATTCTTAAAATAATCTAGATACAGATTTTCTTTATGAAAACTTCCTGCTAGGGTTGTATCTGAAAGAATGAAGAATGAAGATAATTAAAGGGAACATTGTAGATTTTACAACTAACTAATACATTTTTTTTTCAGCCGTATTTAAACTTGAAACAGATAGAACTGTATGGCCCTTGATAAGAATCTATCGGGGTGGCTTTCTTCTGATTGAATTCCTTTTTCTACTGGGCATCAACACGTACGGTTGGAGACAGGCTGGAGTAAATCATGTCCTCATCTTTGAACTTAATCCAAGAAACAATTTGTCTCATCAGCATCTCTTTGAGGTAATAAAGCAGAGTCTCATGAATATAGTTTGCAGTAACTGAATGTAGTTTGCAGTCTTGATGAGTACTCAAGTCCATCTTCCACTTGAAGATTGTTGGATTCTTTATCGTTTTTCTTACCTTTGTTTGGGTTTTTCTGTGTAATGATAAAAAGTAACTTTCTTTCTTTTTGTGTTCCCTGTGCTTTATAGATTGCTGGATTCCTGGGGATATTATGGTGCCTGAGCCTTCTGGCATGCTTTTTCGCTCCAATTAGTATCATCCCTATATATGTGTACCCACTTGCCCTTTATGGGTTTATGGTCTTCTTTCTTATCAACCCCACCAAAACTTTCTACTATAAATCCAGATTTTGGCTGCTTAAACTTCTGGTAAGTCTAGAAAGCTTATACAACATTTTTAGAGTGGTGTTGTTAGTCATTGGCTACCTCAAAGGTCACTCATGGCTGCTGAATTGTACAGCCCATATGTGTAGTTCACATTGTGCCACATGAGTGGTGCCCAGCTTTAGGAGCAAAGATGTTTTTGACAGATACTGGATAACCTTAAAAGTTTACAGCTACAGCATGGCAGCTCTGGGAAAGTGCTTTGTATTTTTTTCCTCCAAGTGACCAGATAGTGATTGATTTTGCAAATTATGATTATTTATTTTGTTATACAGGTTATTTAACCAGTGTGATAATATGTAGAACTTAGAACTTTTGGCTTCTTTCTAAAGAGAAGAAAGGCAGACATAGTGGCTTTATGTAATCCCTGTATTTAGGAGATAAAGGCAGAAGTATTAGAAGTCCACAGTCATTCTCAACTACATAACAGGTTTAAAGCCAACCTAAACCTGTCCCGTTAAAGTTGTGATACTATTGTTCCTAATTGTCCAGTTGATGTGACTAGTTAGCCAAGCCCTTTATTTTAGGAGCAATTGGTCCTCCACCAAGCTGAATTTGAAGCCAACTTGAATTTTTTGTTTTAGTAACTTCTTTCTTTATATGATTTTGCATTCACTTTTTTGAGGTAGAGTCTACTTTTCTAGCCCAGGCTGACTTCAGTGTCAGGGTTTTCCTGCCTTAGCCCCAAGTGTACCACAGTGCTTGGCCTTTGCCTGATTCTTAATGATCTCAACATCTTTTAACAGTGGAATAGAGAATGTCCTGGAAAATTACAGCTGTGTTGTTTTGTGATAGTGTAAAGGTAGCTGTGGGAGGATCTGATACACTCTTAAATAAGGCCGGTTTTATTTTTGAAGTCAATTAAGAATGTTCTCGTGTATGTAGTTCTTAGATGATGGATCGCAGCTGATAATAGAAGGAAGAACAGTGGTTACAATGAATCACCGTGATACTTTCCTCTCCTTGTTCACACCTCCCCGAAAAATATCATTTCTATTTCTTTTGCTTTTTGTTTTTCCCTAGGGGATTAGCAATACTTGTTTAAAATTTTAAAACTGAAACATACTACACTTGGTGGCTCATTCATGTAAACCCTGCATTCTGGAGGCTGAGGCAGGAAGATTGCCATGAGTTCAAGGCCCACTTGGTTTACATCGTGAATTTCAGAGTTAGACCCTATCTGAACTTACACGCCAATGCATGCACGCACACATGCACACTGCCTAAAACCTGAAAACCTAAAATACAGCTTTCTTTCCCTATTTGTAAATGCTTATAGCAACGAAGAAAATAATATGGCCAAATTTTCTTGGCTTTTCCAAAGTTGAATATTATGAGAATTTTACTTTCTACCAAGATTTTTATTGCAAATTAAAATTCTTCCTTTTTCCCTCTTGGGAGTGGGGAAGACAACAAAAACTCAGAGCTCGGAATGCACCTCAGTTGATAAAGTATTTGCTAGCTGAGGCTAACCTGAAATTTAATTTGTAGACTAGGCTGGTCTTGAATTTGCAACTTTCCTGCCTCTGGAACATGAGTTCTGGAATTACAGGCATGTACCAGAACCTAGTATCAGCATGCTTTTAGAGAAGGTGGTTTGGGTTTTAGAGGGGGAAGAAGAAATAGAGCTGCCATTTATCTCTTGAATATATTAAAAATATTTTCTTAGATTAACTGTAAATGTAAAATCCCTATAAGGTATTGGGTTTTTTTTTAAAGATTTGTTTCTTTTTATCTCATATATGTGGGTGCCTTCATATGTGTATGTATGGTTTGTGCTCATAGAAACTAGAAGGTGGCATTGGATTCCTGGAACATATAGACGGTTATGAGCTGCCATATGGGTGCTGGAAACTGAACCCAAGTCCTCTAAAAGAGCAGCAAGTACTATTAGCCACTGAGCCACCTCTTCAGTTTATGTATACAATTATTTCTAAATGAGGTTTTTTTGGAAGATTCAGGAAGCTTATTATAATAATTTCATTGCAATAACAGGATGATGTAGTTGTGTATGTTGTGTGTTAAGTGCGCAATTCCCCAGTGCATCCTTTACTTAAGTAGAAAGCCACAATTTCATGCATGGCTACTTCCTCTGATTTGTAGAACGATCCCTGTTGAGTAGATGTTTATGTATGTGTCTGCAGTGTGTGTTAATAATGCAGATTGGTTGATTAAATAGGCTAGCAATGATGTATAAAAAGGAATCATAGACTAGTAAAAAGCACTCTTAGAAGCAGTGAAATGTAGAAAGAAACACTGATTTGTTACTTTTGTCATATTGTTACCAAAACAAATAATATTACTGTGTATAGGTCATTTAAATTCAGTTGACATATTTATTTTATTCAAATTTCACTGATCCAATTAGTCCCCATAATGTATGACAGAAAATTAACAGAATGTTTTCACTGTAGCTATATTTCTTTGAAATTGTTTTTTAAAGATTTGTCCTAAAGTAAAATGCTATTTCTCTCTCTTTTTTTAACCTCCAATTTTTAGTGTGGAAAACACATATGTCATGTGATCATAATAATAAAGTACTATTATGTTCATAGTTATATGGGAATATGTATTATATTCATAGTTATATGGAAATCTTTGAAATTGGCAAATGCCACCTTCCCTTAAAAAAAGCTCAAGAACTTTAAGTAGCAATATTAATATGTCTAGTCTAGTACAGTCTGTTTATATCCATTAGTCTCTTTTCCTGCATCTGTATTTGCCCCAACTAGAATTTCAATTAGGAAGTATAAACAAAGCCCCAGATTTCCAACAGTATCTCAAAATATTACAGTAGCTCAAAGCAGAGTCTACATACATGGACTGCTACGACCTCATTCTGCCTCTTCCCTGTAAGGAAGTGTCCTCTATCTGGAGCTTATGGTGCAGTAGCATAACTTGTAACCTGGATTTTTGGACTTAACAAAATATAAGGGAGCTATCAAGAGAATAAGTCCTAGAACCCAAAGATACCAGCTCCAGACAGCAATATCACAAAGCCTGTATTATTGTTTCCTGGTCTAGTTCCAATTACAGTATCTGTTAGGTGACACTCAGGATTGAGTCATACCATTTAGTCCTGTGTCTCTCTGAAGAGAAATGCTTATGGATTGAATTTGTCTACTAAATGAATATATCCAGAGAGCTAGAAATTTATACTCAGAGAAGTACATCATTATTATCTTACTCTTCTTTATAATAAAATCAAGGGAATCTGACAGGATAAATATAAAAGCTATCTGCATCCATACTCCTTTGCATGGGGTCATCCAGGCACTCCACAACTTTTTATTCTTGGTGACGGCTTTAGTATCTGAGTCTTCTCTGCAGTGCCAGAATTTCTCTTTGCAGTTATAACAGGTTGATATGGAGCAAGCCACGCTGGGTTTGTGTCTGATGGAATAGCAGTAGTACCTAACTTTGGAATTGAGTTGGGCTTGATAGAACACAGCTGTGATCCTAGCACTTATTGTGTAAGGCTGGAAGGATTTCAAGTTAGAGGCCAACCTGGGCGACATAGTGAGGCCTGTCTCAACCTACTCCCCTTAAGAGGAGTTATTATAAAGATTGAGCTGTAGTAGTCTATAACCCCTAAGAAAATATAGTTTTTTAAGTTAGTGTTCAATATATTTGCTTAATAGATTGACCATTTTCAGGACAGTGGTAAGAGAAGTGATTTTGTGGTGAAATTCAGGGTTAACAAGCCATTACTCTTACATTAGTGGAATAAATATTACATAGGCTGGGGTTGCAGTTCAGTGATAGAGGGCTTGACTTATGCACAAGACCCTGGGTTTGAAACCCCATGCTGTAACATTGTCATTTAGGTTAGAGAATGTGAATGCCTCAGCTGATATAACCACCCTTCCCTACCTGTATTTTACAGGCAAAGAAGAGCTTTGTATTTAGTTAGCTAAGTGCTCCCCTGTCCAGCAAATTTGCTTTGTAACCTAAATATTAGATTTCCTCTCTGTATTTCCAGCACTTTTTTTTCTTGGCAGGATTTTACTCTGTAGCTCAGGCTGGCCTCGAATTTGTGGAAATCCTGCCTTAGCCTTCTAAGTGTTGGGCTTACAGGAATTACCCACTCTGCCTAGTTTATTCTCCCTCCTCCTGTTCTCTGCTTTTTTACCTGCAGTTCCTACCAGCAGCCCCACACATTCACACAGGCACACTGTTGTCTTTGCAGTCATGCTTTCAATGCAATCCCCATACTGCTGCTTACCCCAGCCTTTGTTGTCTGGGCTGTGTGTGTGTGTGTGTGTGTGTGTGTGTGTGTGTTTCATCAGCAGTCACTCTGAATGGTCAGACATCAACTGCAGAAATTTAATGTACGGTTTCCTGTTTCTATGCCTCTCTCTCTCTCTCTCTCTCTCTCTCTCTCTCTCTCTCTCTCTCTC